GAGCATCACGATGATGGGCAGCTAGTTTTAATCAGTGCATCGTGTGCTTCCCGTCGCAACCCATGCCAAGCACTGAACCCGTTCTCACATTCACGGACAAGGAGCACAACATCTTACAATATTCTTCTACAGCTGACCTGTGAGCAATTTAGGTTTCAAGGAAAACTACCTTTGCATCTTCTTCCCTCCTCTATTTGTGGAGTTTAATTCCCATGAGACTTACTTCCACTGCTAATAGCTGCTACACCAGCGTACAGCTGACTGGCCCACTGGGCCAAAAAACCCTGCTAAGTGCTGCTCAAACTTGACATCTTGAATTTTGTGAGGGATGCTTAAAGCACAAGCATCACGGGCACAGCCTCTGTCTGTACTGCACCACAGCAAGGTTTCCCTTTTAGGGATGAGAACAAGGCTTTGAGCCCCATCTCCATCTAAAAACCACAACCTGACATCAGGGTAGAGGCAGACTGCTCCATATTGTCCAGCTCTTCTCTCTGAACAATAAGCCAGGTGATCTCAGCTGACCTTCTGAAAACCCTGAAAGCATTTAGAGAGGCGTATCTGACCACAGGTTTAAAAAAGCCTCTAAGTTTCCTGAAAGCACTTGCAGACAACTCCAGGACTGTTAACAAATAACACAGACTGCAGGTTTTATAAACAGTAACGTGAAGCACAACTGCATGAATAGAAGCAAAGTATTCCACTAGTGCAACCAAGAGCTAAAGAAGCCATTTAGTGCTCTTGCTGCGGGGTGGGAATTGCAAGAAAACCAAAAAACAATCCAAGACAAGACTGCTCCTCCCAACCTCGATGTGATTACTGCAGCGTCAGCTATTCAACACACTCAAGATACTATATGGGTGTTAGGAGTTCATCTAAAGGGGAATGATTCAACTGCAATTATTTGGATGGCTTTTATGGTTTTTGCCAGTTGCCAGACAAGTATTTTCCCCAAAATTATCAGCTGCCATGTTTCTCCACCTGACAGATACAGTGCAGAAACCCATGTCACATCTACACTGAACGAGACTTACACCTACTTGAAACCAAATCTTCAAGAGCCAGATCCCACACACGGACAACTAAAATGGAGAATTCATCACTGTTTCCTGGAATTCCATCTACCAATACTCAGCTCCCTACTAAATAAGCCCACGTTGACCTGCTTGAGACTACAGGGCACTCTTGAATCAGGGGAACTCCTAGAGTTGTCAGAGACTCACTGGTTTTCACCACTTCTAACATGGATCTTTACCTCAAAGGTCATCCTGGAGACAGCATCCTGCTCTGGGCGGAAGACTCCTTGCCGTTTTCCCCTGCGGTCCATGTTAGACGGCTGTGCCATCACCCTACTGTCAGCCATGCCATAGGAAGAGTCCCAGTAATATTCTGGCACTTTGACTTCTGAGGGGTTCTGGTTATATGGCTCCATTGGGAAAGGCTTCATTTTTTTCTCCAGAGGTTGCTGTTGCATCACGGGAGGCTGTAATGACTGTTCAAATAATTTTAGATGGTCCTGGGCCTGCAGGTAATAGGACTGCTTTACGGGCATGATCTTCCCCAGCGAGCCTTGGACTTGAGGTGGGTTCCAGAGCTGCTTTGACGAGTCTGTCTGCGGATACTGAGGCAGAGACACATGATTTCACCAGCAGGCAGGAAGAATTAGTGTTAACTGAATGCCTAACTTCATTCAAACTGGCTCACTTGCGACAGACATGCCACAAACATTCTGATTTGCTATGTTATTCACCAAAACGCCCAGACTGGACAGGCATCCAGTAGGCTCTAGTCAAGCTCTACACCAATAGCCAAGCATTGGTGTGGTACTTTATAATCACCTTTATTAAGGTATGAGCCAGCATTTTGCTGCCCAGAACACCAGGAGGGTCTCACCATCGAGTCCGGACATGCCAGAAGGGAGATTTTCTCCAACAGGATGTGAGCACGAAACAAGTTGCTGTCAGGGAACTGACACTGCAACCCAATTAGCCAAAAGGAGAGCGTGGGTGAAGGTTCAGGCTCAGTCCTAGTTACTTAAACCAGAAAACTACAAGGGTCTAAGACAGAAACACCTGACCAAAAATACCACCTTCATATCTTGTCTATTACCAGAAAACCCATTCCAGTAGATACTTTCCTCTTAGTTAGAGTCTTGTACATTCATACTTGCTGAACTTCAGCTCTTTTTCAGATTTGCCCAGAAGTTTGCAGGTCAAAATTCCACGCTAAGGTCTTTAACGACAGTTTTTAAAAGGTAATCCGGGAATGTTGGCATTTATTTTTCAACGAAGCTCAGCACATCGCGTGACTCAAGTTTACCTGCTGGAATCCGGAGTGGTGTGGTGGGCTCTTCCCCAGGCCCTGCACAGCTTTCGTAGGGGACTGTTGCTGCTGTTGCTGGGCCAGAGCTTGGACCTGTAACTGGCTCGCAGACTGTGCTGTTGCCTGAGCTGGTAAGGATGAGAGGGGTTGCTGGGAAGGAGGTGGCGTTTGCTGAGGTCCCTGGGTCATCGGCCCTGGTCCGGAGGGCCGTTGCTGGCTGTAAGGAATGTGGGACTGTTTCCCACCTTGCACCTGGTTTCCCGCAGGTGAGTGAGCTGTGGGCTGGAGGAAGGTTCCTGGGACAGAAACACCACCTGGGAAGGTGTACCCTGTGCTCATGGAGAAAGCCACAGGAGGGGGGACGACGTAGGTTGGAGGTGGAAACCCTGGAAAAGATAAACACGCACCTTTAATGGCAATTTGGTAGAGCAGATAGCTCCCTCCAGAAAACATTTAGTGGTGGTTTATTTTTCTTCTCATTTTGCTCATTTAGACCACAAGGACAGGAAACACCAGGCACAGTTCGCATACGTGCACTGTAAAGTCCCTTCTCACCTTTGCAAGGGGCTTCAGAGTTTGCTCTCGAGTGTTCTTGCAATATTCCAGGCACTGATAACAGTCAGCCAGGGCAGTATCTGGGAGAGTCACAGGTTTCCCACCTCCCATCTCCATCTCCCCCTTCCCACCCCACCGCCACTACCTTTTTCCTTCACCATTCCGAGGGTTTTGATGCTTTAACCCCAATGTTCCCATCCCCTCGAACGCATAAATTTTCAAGGACTAAACTTCTGGAGCAACGGACAGAAGCAAATCAATAAGTCTCCTGCCTCCTCCCAGAGGATTGCCAGCCCCAGGATCGATTTAGATGGAGACAGACAGCGAGCAAACAAATCCTCATATCCGCAAGATCAATTTCTATCCCGTAGTTCACCCTGAAAAGCCAGGTTTGGAAGGCAAGCTTTAATTCTGTGTCTCACAGGCTGAATTTTATGTTGACTTTGTGACAGGGAAGATGTCCCTGTCTGATATTGAGCAAATACATGTAATAGCTGCAGGGAAGACAGAGCTTCCAGGTATTTTGTGAGCAAACATGGACAGCAAGGTATGACAGGGAGACTCCTCAACAAAATGGGAACACACGGTGTGGCAACAACAGCAAGTAAGAGCACGCAAATTACAGCTTGAAACATGAGCACCACTACAAAAGAAACTGAGCTTTAAAGAAGACAGCAGTGTGATTGGTCTTTTGTACTGGAGCCCTACACACAGAGAAGCTTCCTCCTGAGCTAGTAGAAGGCTTTGTCATATTTTGACTAACTACAGAAACAGCGTCCTGTGAAGTTCCTTCATCTCACACCCACTAACCAAGAAGGAACACGGCACATTTCACGAAACACCGTGATTCCAAAGCATAAGGAATCTTACGTACCTCGATTCACTTCTGCTACACCTCTTCTTTACAAATTTGTAAGACAGAATCACATAATGGTTTGGGTTGGAAGGGACCTTCAAAGATCATCTAGTTCCAACCCCCCTGCCATGGGAAGGGACACTTTCCACTACACCAGGTTGCTCAAAGCCTCATCCAACCTGTCCCTGAACACTTCCAGGGATGGGGCAGCCACAACTGCTCTGGGCAACCTGTTCCAGTGCCTCACCACCCTCAGAGTAAAAAATTTCTTCCTTAGATTTAATTGAAATCTCCCCTCTTTCAGTTTAAAGCCATTACCCCATGTCCTGTCACTGCACACCCTTGTCAAAAGCCCCTCTCCAGCTTTCTTGTAGCCCCTTTAGGTACTGGAAGGCTGCTAGAAGGTCTCCGTGGAGCCTTCTCTTCTCCAGGCTGAACAGCCCCAACGCTCTCAGCCTGTCTCTATAGTAGAGGTGCTCCAGCCATCGCATCATCTTGGTGGCCTCCTCTGGACTAGCTCCAAGTCCTTCTTGTGTTGGGGCCTCAGAGCTGAACGCAGCACTGCAGTGGGGTCTCATGAGAGCAGAGCAGAGGGGCAGAATCCCTTCCCTCGACCTGCTGCCCACGCTGCTTTGGCTGCAGCCCAGGATCCGGTTGGCTTTCTGGGCTGCCAGTGCACATTGCCAGCTCCTGGTGAGCTTCTCATCAACCAACACCCCCAAGTCCTTCTCCTCAGGGCTGCTCCCAATCCATTCTCCACCCAGCATGTACTTGTGCTCTCAATGTGAGAAAGCATCTTCATTAAAAGAGCTCCTACCTCCAGAGGCTGTAAGGACCACTATCACAGGATTGTCTTTGCAGTCAACAGTAAATCACACTTCAAAGAACGATGCAAATTACCTGGCCGGCTAGGAAGGGGAGGGAAGGCTCCTGGGTGATGAATGGGGATGAACTGAGAACTGCTGGCCTGACTTGGAGTCTGAGTTACAGGTGTTTTCCTGGCTTCAGACACTGGAGTCTTCCTCATCTCCGTCTGAGATTTCACCTAATGCAAAAGAAAGTAAGAAGAAATTAGAGAACTTTTCCTGTAATTACCCACAGCATGTCTCAAGCCAAACAATGAACTTTCAGATTGTCTGAGAGATTACTTTCTTTTCCCTGAGTAACTGGGAGAGGTTTGGAACACAGGAACCCAGTTCCCTCCTTGCTGACCTCGAACAGGTTACCCTGCCTGTCCTCAGGCACTCCTTGCCTCATGAAAGCACTCTAAGGATGTCTACCCAGAAGACTGCAACAGGCTCCTTCCCTCACGAGAGACGGGGAAGCAGATATAATAATATCCTCAGACCACACAAAGAACTTACCACGCTGCCTTAAAAACAAAACAAAAAGTGCAGATGCTATTATGCTTCTTCTGGGGCACTGCTTCAACCTAACTCATGCCACTTACCTGCAGCACCTTAAAAAACAAACACTACCACGTTTTTTCCTAGGGAAGTCTTTCAGCCTAATCCATAGGGTGATGTATATGCACAAACTCCTGCAATTTTTTTGCCCTAGAGCATACAAGACAAATCGCAGAGGTGCTTAACCTCTTTTGGTTTACTGTGTAACTGCTGTATGTTCTGTTAAAAGAGCTGCACCAGTTAAAGGCAGAGAGAAGAATGGAATGTAACGTTTACCTGATTCTGAGCCTGCTGCGGTCTGGGTCTTCCTGGAGAGGAAGACAGAGGGGAAGACTACTTTCCCTTTCTGTTCAGCTCGGCAGAACTGCCTGGAATGCAAGATGGAGCAGGCAGGAAAAAGACAGCAAGCAAGGATCCCGGGCAATACACAACGGGCCCAGGAGCAGACCTGATGCCAAGCCTCAAGGGTGATTGAAAGAAAGGGGGTTTATCAAGGATCATATTAATAAAAAAATATCCAAACCAAACAAAACTGAAACTGGGTGGAGTTTATTTCAATATTTAGTGCTGCTGAGTTGAAAGGAGTTAGAAGGCAGGTCCTTTCTGCCAAAATACAGTGGTAAAGGGGTAGATGCATTCAAATTCTTCAGTTCTTTTTCAAATAAATCCGAATTTCCCCATTTAGAAACTATGGGAGTGTAGTTTATTTTCTGTGTTTAATTCAAAAAGTATGATTGCAAGACTGGGTGTATTTTTGACCTCTCGCTAGAAAAAATTAGGAAGGAATTCCACCTCAAGGGTCCGGCTGATGCTAAGCACCATGAGTAATGCAGTCCCTGCTCACGCCGCGTCTGTTCGCTGCCCTTCATCATGTTCTGTGTATTCAGCTTGGATCGTGCTGCCCCTTTTTTCTCCACAACGAGCCAAACGTTTTATAACCCCATGCCAAGAGCTATGCATTCTTTTACAGCAACCTCGGAGAATTCAAAGACACTCTTTCTGCTGTGCGATCTCAAAACATGAGCTCCAGTCCATCATAAACTGAAAGCTGCTATAACACTTCCAAAAGACCTTGCACATGATTTATAGTTAACTTTTAAAAGCTAAATAACTAAAATTGATTAACTGAGACAGACAAATTTCACTTGCTTCCCTGCTTCTACTTGACCTTACCTCAGAAGTGTTGATTCTACCAAATATTTACTCCCTCAGTGGTCTTAGGGCTCCTACATGATGCTTGAGGGAAGCATCATTTCTTCACAGTGACCTCTTAAGAGCACGTTACACCTTGATTAAGCCTGTATTAAACCTTCCTCGGCACCTAACATCATTTTCCCTAGAGAGTGGAGATTCAACCTGTGTCACATTCTCATGATCCTGACTGAGCGCACAAGTTTTCCCACTTATCTGCAAAACAGGACTCATTACTTTCCTATAACCTTCCTAACGTTTTTGTTAAGTAGGAGCTGCAACAAAAGCATTTAGGCTTTGGTTTGCAACCAGCTATGGAGGAGATATCTCCAAAAGGCCAAAGCAGAGCACTAACAGACCAACAATCAGCACAAAACCTACACTGGTTTCTCCTCAGTGGGCGGGAGGGGAAGGCAAACCTTTTCCATATTCTGGAGGAGATTTGGATAAATAAGTCCACCAAAGGCATTTCACTGGAATAGCTGCCATAACAAATACGGCTGATGGAACTAAAAAGTCAAAATTAATTTCTATTCAACAAGAGATGAAGAGTCACCAACCACATCAGAACAGATTCCGCTACAGCTGGGTTTGAAAGATTTTCCTGTGTTTTTTATCACTTAAGACTAAAGACAAACAAATTTCTGATAAATCAGCTGGGTTAAAATTAAAATATCTTCCCTATCCAAAAAACTACACATATTTCTCAGAATATCCTGTGGGTTTTATCAGCCTCAAGTCCTTATTTTGCAAGACGGGCACAAACACTGAAAATGGGAGTTGTGCTCAGGTCTGCAACCACATTCCAGATGCGTTCAACCAATAAATAAGAAACCTGCTATTCTAACTCACCTATGTTGGTTTTCAGATACCAGAATCTTGTTTGGTGACTCCCAAACGATTGCCATACGCTTTCTGCAGGCTACTCCCCTCTAACCCCTTTGGTAGGACCCCTTGCAAAACCAACTGCCGGTTCAGACCTTCCATTTCATAACAAAGTTGTTTAATAGCAAATAATCAGGTGGAGAACGAGAAGGAGGATCCAAAGGACACCACAATCCGGAAAGACTGAACAAGCTGGTTTGTCTAGCCTAGGGAAAACAAGACCTCAGTTACACAGGCCTGCAGAGCAGTTGCAAAGAGGAAGACTTACGTTAGCAGACCTGTCCTGGGAAGCAGTAATGGGCTTACACAGAGGTTAGGGGGATGAAGTGCAGCAGGAAATGATTTCCACTTGCAAGAACAGCGAAGAATTGACACAGTTTCTCTAGGGAAATAATAGAGTCTCCATCACTATCATTAAATGCCTCCAGATGTCATCAGGGAACGACTGAGATGCAGCCAAACTATCCAGGTACGGATCAGAACAACTCTAAAACTCTCCACCCTTATTTACTACAACTCTACGAAAGCCAGACCAGTAAATTCACTATTTACTTACAAGGTGAGCATTTTTGTACGTAATGCTTACAGAAACAGAGGGAAAAAAACATGCCCCTATAAGAAGACAACTGATAAAAGGGCAGCTGATGTGAAAACCAACAATTTTGAGGAAGCATCTGAGCACGGATTTACAGTTTAAGAGCAGTGTGGCTTTCCTTCCTTCCACAGAGGACCACCTGACTGCATGCACAGTACAGAGGATCTTACTCCCCATATGCAATTTGGTGCTTTTGCAACGCGTTCAATTTAATGAATGTGCACAAGTCAATTGAACCGAAAACGTCAAGCATTCAGCTCCTTCACAACAGAGCACGGCATGGGTTAAGAGCACGACTATGACCTGGCCACGTGAACTGCCTTGGTAGCCTGAGTAATCTGTGGAATAGCAGGTAGAAGTCTGGTTTTTAAGACAGTTAACATACCAAAATCACCTTTCACAGCACCCTATCTTTTTTCTCCCCAACAAATTGAGACAGCATCAAGGAAAAGGGCAGAGACCCAAAGACCACTAATACCTGGTCTTTGAGATAAACGTGTTTCTGGGTTTTTTTTGTGCGTTAGCAGTACCTGCAGGGCACACAGTGAGACCTTGACTCTCCTGGACCCCATACAAGCAGCGATGGCCCTGATGCAAACATTGTCCTGCCTACAATGCAGCATCCCTTTGATCTAAAGGCTTACCTGAACTGCCACGTTCTGCTTTCCTGCTTCCTGCATCTTATCCAAGCCGCATTTCTTGGTCTCGTTCTTCCTCTTATTGTTATCCTTCTTTCCATCATTCTTATTGGCTACTATTCCTTTGCTATAGTCCCGTCTTGCCCTACCTATATCTTTAGGGGGATAGATTCGCCCTTGCTCTCGGTTCATTTCCCGTGGCTTGATGTTCTCTTTGAACGTGACCATTGGTTTTTCTCCTGCGTCACAGTTGTTGTTTAGGCTTCTGCCAGAGGACAGAACTGATTTGAGTCCAGGGCTCCCATCTGTAGATAGCGGCTCTGCAATAGATGTTTCCTGCAAGGCGAGACTCTCTTTGGCTTCACTTGGGTCTTCTAGTAGTAATTCTGGGATTTCCGTCAAAAACAACAGCTTGCCTACCTCATTTTCACACTGAATCAACCTGAAAAAGACAGAACTGAATTGAAGAGCAAGTAGGAACAGTTTTTCACAGGGTAACCCACCTCTCCAAATTATAAAAGCAGAAAGTCTGTGATGCCCATCTACAAGAAGGGCCAGAAGAAAGATCTGGGGAACTACAGGCCTGTCAGTCTGACCTCAGTGCCGGGGAAGGTTATGGAGCAGATCACCTTGAGTGCCATCACGCAGGACGTACGGGACAACCAGGTGATCAGGCCCAGTCAACATGGGTTTATGAAAGGCAGGTCCTGCCTGACTAACCTGATCTCCTTCCATGACAAGGTGACCCATTTAGTGGATGAAGGAAAGGCTGTGGATGTTGCCTACCTAGACTTTAGTAAAGTCTTTGACACCATGTCCCACAGCATTCTCCTGGGGAAACTGGCTGCTCATGGCTTAGATGGGCGTACTCTTCGCTGGGTAAAAAACTGGCTGGATGGCCGGGCCCAAAGACTGGTGGTGAATGGAGTTCAATCCAGTTGGCAGCTGGTCACAAGTGGTGTTGCCCAGGACTCAGTTCTGGGGCCAGTTCTGTTTAATATCTTTATCAATGATGTGGACGAGCGGATTGACTGCACCCTCGGTAAGTTTGCAGATGACACCAATTTGGGTGGGAATGTTGATCTGCTCGAGGGGAAGAAGGCTCTACAGAAGGACCTGGACAGGCTGGATCGATGGGCTAAGGCCAACTGTTTGAGGTTCAACAAGGCTCAGTGCCGGGTCCTGCACTTGGGTCACCACAACCCCACGCAATGCTACAGGCTTGGGGAAGAGTGGCTGGAAAGCTGCCTGGTGGAAAAAGACTTGGGGGTGTTGGTTGACAGTCAGATGAATATGAGCCAGCAGTGTGCCCAGGGGACCAAGAAGGCCAATAGCATCCTGGCTTGTAGAAGAAATGGTGCGGCCAGCAGGACCAGGGCAATGATCAGCCCCTGTACTCAGCACTGGTGAGGCCGCATCTCGAATGCTGTGTTCGGTTTTGGGCCTCTCACTACAAGACAAGACATGGTGGTGCTAGGGCGTGTCCAGAGAAGGGCAATAAAGCTGGTGAAGGGTCTAGAGCACAATTATGAGAAGCAGCTAAGGGAACTGGAGTTGTTCAGCCTGGAGAAAAGGAGGTTGAGGGGAGACCTTGTCACTCTCTACTACTATGTGGAAGGAGGTTGTAGCAAGGCGAGTGTCAGTCTCTTCTCTCATGTAACAAGAGGAAATGGCCTCCAGTTGCACCAGGGAGGTTTAAATTGGATATAAGGAAAAAATTCATCCCCAAAGGGGTTGTCAAGCATTGGAACAGGCTTTCCAGGGAAGTGGCCGAGTCACCAACCCTGGAGATATTTAAAAGATGCGTAGACATAGTGCTTAGGGACACGGTTTAATGGTGGACTTGGCAGTGCTAAGTTAACAACTGGACTCGATGATCTGAAAGGTCTTTTCCAACCTAAATGGCTCTATGATTCTACGTCAACATATGCACTGTGCATCTCTTCACCCCAGCAACAACAAGATGTTACATCACATCTCCCAGCTAAGGGGACTCTCTAGCACGATGTCAGCTCGCATGCTCGCAGTCTTGCTGCCACTTCAAATACTGTTTCCACTTCGCTGTGCCGCAGTATCCCTAAAAAGGGCTCATCGAACACGATGCTTTACTCCAGATACATCACCTATCATAATTAGCTTACGAAGCAATGGCACGCTGACCCACGGAACACCGTATGAGCGCCGTCAGCATCTTGCATTCACGTTCTATCTAACTGCTGTGTCAAACAGTGAGAAAAATAAAGCTTAACCCGGGCACCTGCATTGTCTACGTCTACAGCAACTGAAACACACAGATGCTACTTGCGATTACCTCGGCTGGTTATCAGCAATCCATTTGCCTGTGAAGATCAGACGCTGCTGCCGTATCCGACGTTGTTGCCCTTCCTTATCTCCTGTAATTGCCTGGTGGCCTTTGGAAAAATCCAAGTTCCTAGTATTGACACAGGAGAGGAAGTAATATTAATTACACAATTACCCTCTGCAACATCATATTTCCATAGAAATGCAACTGGTCAACATTACTCGATTATGAGCTGCGAAATTTCACCAGATCCTTTTCAAAATATGACTGTTACAGATGTCTGATTTACACACGCAATTCCCTTCTGGTAAGATGCATCTACATTAAAGAGGTTTGGTGAAGGGTTTTTTTTAAAAAGAAACAAAAGGTTGAAAGTTCATCTGTGTGATAATCAAAATCACAAAAATAATAGTTGAGTGAATACATCTAATATTTAGTCAGCATGTGTGCATGACGTTAGGTGCAGAGACACAGTTAAAAGCAGAATAAAAAGCCAGCAAAGTAAAAACACATCGAGCAGTCTTCCTGTAAAAGTACTCCTTTCCCCACTTCTTGCAGGGAACAGGTCAACATCCGTCAAAGTAGTGACATCAGCAAGACTATAGTTTCCTCCAGCTGTCACCCACCTGAACGAGGGCCTCAGAGCCAGGAATCCTTGCAGCTCAAATTCTTCTGGAAGTGGGGTTGCTGGTGAAGAGATATAGTAAACAGCGTAAGGAGAGCCTGAACACATTGAGTACAGTATCGTAAGTCGATAACCCAGCAAGGTCACTACACGTAGTAAAGCATTTTATTAAAATGCTCCTCTGTACTGGCCCACCCCACAATCTGAGGAGCTCGGCACGAGAAAGAATTTGCAAAGGAATCCCCTGCACTAATACTAGAAAACAACTTGCTCTCTTTGCTCTTCCAACTTGCAGTTCCCCACATAAGGAAAAACATGCATCGTTCCCAGTTCTTTGCAGCACAGACTAAAAGCATCCTTACCATTATTACTGGACAGATCTTCTTCATGAGGCTGGAAGCTGTTTAGAAGAGAAATCAGCCAGGGCCATATGCTACAAACCAGAACACAGACAAATTATAAGGGAAAACTACAAAACACGGAATTTACCCACCTTACTAAGAAAATACTCAGCTCTGTTACAGTCACAGCTTCCATTAATCCTTCGAATCCCAAGAAAAGGTAAGTTTCTCCCAAGGGTCAGGGAAAAGGTCACTTTATTGACGAACTTATAATTTTTTAAAAATTCAGTCTAAAATTATGAAGACAGACAGATTCTCGCAGTGTTCATTACCCAGCAAATCAGAAAACCTACTACGAATGTAACTAGACAGAACTATTGGAGGAGCTGAAGTTCAGAGCACCTGTTTGCAATTCCTGTTTTCCAGTCCAAAGCTGACTGCTCTCAAGGCACAGTAAATTAATCAATTGGGAAGTAAAATAATTTATCGAGATAGAGCTGCGCACAAGTACTTCTGTTCTGTGAACATTACGGTCTAAGTAAGGGCTGCACCGACTAAGACCATTAAACTGGAGGTTAACGGGCAGCCTCCCTGCTTTACACTGCCAACACCATTACAAGCAATGACTGGAAATTCTTTACAAAGGCCCTGGAGCAAATAATTTAAAAATCACAACCATCACCGTATAGGTAGTTAACATTTAACTACCACCAACAGGCTGCTTTCTCCAAATTTTTAAAAAGCTCCAACCCAAAAGTCTAAGCAGTTGCCTTCTGCTTCAGTGATGGGCACCAACTCCACAGAGGCAACAGAAAACTATTTTTTGGAAGGTGCCCATCGTGCTCGGTGTTAGTGAAACGAACCTGTCCTCCCTCAGCAAGGCTTTCGGCCATCATCCAGCACCTAGACTGGAGAATGCAAAGTGCAACCGAAAGCCTGAGGTCAGCAGCTCTCCTGCACTGCTGCAGGGACTGGAAACATTAGCACAGAGAATAAGCATCAACATAAACTGAGCAATAGCTCCTTCCCATGACTGACAAGGAAGAGAAGGAGGAAAAAAGGGAGAGTGCAAGCCTGTTGCAACCGACAGTAAGCTGCAATCTTCCCGTACAACATCTGAAATAATGAGATTTCACAATAAGAGATCTCTGAAGAGTGATGTAGTGACACATGCAAAAACCTAGACCTAGTGTGGCTTCCACAGGGCAGGTTTGGAAAAGCTCACTGCCAAAGAGCACACACTAGTATTCATATAGTAATTTCTGTCCTTAGTTATGTGTTCAGCTCTGGGGCCTCCAACAGAAGAAGGACATGGAGTTGTTGGAGCTGGTCCAGAAGAGGCCACAAAGATGATCCGAGGGCTGGAACACCTCTGCTATGAAGACAGGCTGAGAGAGTTGGGGCTGTTCAGCCTGGAGAAGAGAAGGCTCAGGGGAGACCTTCTAGCAGCCTTCCAGTACCTAAAGGGGCTACAAGAAAGCTGGAGAGGGGCTTTGGACACGGGTGTGTAGTGACAGGACAAGGGACAATGGCTTTAAACTGAAAGAGGGGAGATTTAGATTAGATCTAAGGAAGAAATTTTTTACTCTGAGGGTTGTGAGGCACTAGCACAGGTTGCCCAGAGAAGCTGTGGCTGCCCCATCCCTGGAAGTGTTCAAGGCCAGGTTGAATGAGGCTTTGAGCAACCTGGTGTAGTGGAAGGTGTCCCTGCCCACGGCAGGGGGGCTGAAACTAGATGATCCTTAAGGTCCCTTCCAACCCAAACCATTCTATGATTCTTGCCTCCATATTTATCTATTCTTCTAGGTAAACACATTTCCTTCCCATTTCAGATGTTCATACATTTTGGGGTACAACTAATTATCCACAGGAAAACAATAAGCATAGAGTGGAGACAACTGTTTAAAGTTTAAAAAGGAATAAGGATTATTTCTTGAACCAAGAGCAAAATTAATTCTGAATTCAGAGTAAGGAAGACTTTAAGAGAAATCAGACATCAGGTTATTACACAAGAGGCCAATAAAGTTGCACACGTGTGCGTAATCTGCAAAGAATGACTTTCATTAAGATTTTCCAATAGAAATAAGAAGAAAAATGTCATCCTTACAAATAAAGGGGAAGATGGACAATCATCTCAACTTTTTTAGAGCTGACAAATGTAATGGCTACTAACTAATGCCCAGTTTGACAAATCTTAGCTGTACTTAACTTTCTTTTCGAGTTCAGCTGTGCCTTTTACAGCTGTTTGCTGCCCACTTCACAACTCCTTTGTACGATGAGGACCTGAGAACATCACGTTACCACACCACAGATTTAAAAAACAGGCATGTTCTTTAAAGAGAGCCTGATAGTTTTATGGTCAGAAGGACCTACTCTGGCTAGCTCAAAATACACATTCACACCTGAAGATTCATTTTGAGACTCCATGAAGTCCTGCCTGCACCTCCACTCTGCAAGGACTACTTCATATCAAGTAGTAATCTTCACTATTAAAACACTGGGATTATAGCAATTATTGCTATAATCCATGAAAGTTAACAGACTATAACAAAAGTAGGAGAGCTTTGAACTATTTAAGCCTAGATTTAAAAGATTAGAGGCAGAAGTGAAAAATCAGAGCAGCAGTCCAGAACCATAATGCCTGTGCTGACATTTAAAGATCCCCTCTACTAAACTCAATTCAATTACTGGACGATGAGCCAGGAAAACAGGATTCCAGTACTAACCAAGAAATGGCTTAATGCATGAAATTAAGGCAAGTATTCTCCTGCCACCTACCTCGATAAATCTGAGAAATCATTACAATAGATCAGACTAAGGGCACCCTCAGTAGCTGTGCCCAAGTCAGACATTATAAAGGAGATTGCTCAGATCTTAATTTAAGAAAGCGTTACATGCAAACCTAAAGCAAATTAAAACAGTGAATTTGCTCGTGTAGCCCACGAATCTCATTTTTTTTAACTTTTTAGCACATACACTATCATTTTGATGCCTTTAATAATAAGTTATGCGATCACTTTTCCCATTACTAATTTGTGTATCATCACTTACTATTACTTTATGCAATTAAATTTATCAAAAGAAAGATTAACACTCACTACCGTCTTTCATCAACCACTGCCTCCTGGAAAACACTGGGCCTAAGTTTCAGCCAGTCCATTGAAACCTTCACAGCTGGAAGAGGATACGCAGCTCCAGAGTCCTCCTGGTAGTCGTTTTGTAAAGGACACTTGCACAGAACTCCAAGAAAGGACACTAGAAACAGAGGAGAAAAAAAAACACCAAACAAAAAACCACACACAATGCAGGAATGACACTTTAAAGCTGATCAAATAACCTAATGAAACACATCTCACCTATAAAACCCTATTTTTAAGGGAGACTTCTTTAGAACAAAGCAATCCAATTATTTGATCTTTAAAAATCCACCAGCAGATCAGAACATCTTTTTTTTCAATGCAGAGTTTTCTACCATGAAGCAGAACATTAGTGTCTCCTCCCCACCCCTCCCCTCCTTTTTTAACTGTTATAGCAAATCATTTTGTTAACTTGTGAGACAAGCCCATTACAAAAACAGTCATTCATTTATTTATTAGAAATTATCAACTCAACTATCTATCTGCATTTTATCCCCTTTCCCAGGGTCAGCAGGCACACGAATCCACCGGAGCGAGCTGTGCAGGCAGGCACCCAGCTCAGACCCATTAGAGCACACAAGCTGAGAAACCATACCACACCAGTGTGATCATGGTGCTTTCAGACTCAAACTCCAGGCTGGAACCTGGAGAAGTTCAGCTCTTCAGAAATGTAGGTGTTTACGAACAAGGCCAAGCTGATCATGGGCCAGATCAGGTTAAGCAAATGAGCATTGTGCTGCTAGAGTCTAAAATGCTCTGCACTCCCACTTATCTTCTAGTTGATGTTACCAAGAGCACAGAAGCAGCTGAGGTCCCAGTTCAGTCAGCTTTGACTTCAGTGCCGTTGAATCAGAGCTAGCTCCAGTCAAAACAACTCAAACCACGTCGAGGCCAGCTGTGAAGCAGCCCCACCACGCGTGGTACTACCCACCACCAAGATGGACCCAACTCTCTACCCAAGTTAAAACATTCTTTTCAGAACCAGGAAAAAGATGCAGAGCTCTGTAAGGCTTCAGATGGAGTAGGTCCAGTGTTAGCCAGCACTGCTAGACAAACGATCCTGTGCAACCATCTTCTCTCTGAACGTTCTCCCATACTGTCCATTCTCATCACTTATCTCACACAGCCATTAGGCTAGATGCTGACAGCACTCTACTAATTGATTCCATATAAAAATGAAAGAGATACAAAGATCAATGAGTTTTCATACTTACTGAAGAGAGCCAGTAACTGTGTCCAGCAGAGCTGCTCGTCCTGGCTGTAGCTGTGCTGCTCCGTTTCATTGCTGAAGTCTCGCAGGTGATGCAGTTGAAACAGATTGATCACAGTAATATGGACCAACTGCTGAGAATTGAAGGCTTTTTGGAATAACAACCTCTGCAACAAAGACACACGTACAACATATGTATTTTTATACGGTAAAGCACGTGCCTGAAAGTCCCTGCCCACGGCAGGGGGGTTGGAACTAGATGATCTTTAAGGTCCCTTCCCACCCAAACCGTTCTGTGATTCTGTGAATTCCATGATTCCATGATTAGTAGTTGCTACTTCACTGCTTGACTAATGTTTCTGCACTTAAGGCAGCATCCATTCTCGATTTTATTTTCAGGACATCCCTATTAGCACAGTGCTGGGCTTCCCAGGTGGACATGGGTAGATGCCCACTGTTAAGCCCAAGGTTTTTTGCTCGTAAACCAACTCATACACACAACAAATCACCATCCCCTTGGATACAGGTCTCTTCCAGAGCAAGTGCAACTTCAACGTGCAAAGACATCGCAATGCAAGTGCAAGAATTGCAGAGGTCTGTATGGCCACTGTGTTTTTCAGTCTTTCGAAGAAACAGCACGGAGAAGGTGACATTTTAAAAAAAAAACACCCCAGGAAAATTTAATTATTGTGTGGTTATGTATTAAAGACTAATTCAACACCTGACTTCATGGGTCATGGAACACCATGGTGGACTAAAATAGCATGAGCTATTTACAAATGCATTTCAGTTACTATGCTGTAAAAGATTCTTTTCCTGTTCTAAGAAAAGTAACTTGAATGTTTTTCTGGAGTATTGTGAAAAAAGGAGATATCCTAAACCACAACCAACTTATCTTCAGACACAACATCAGGAAGGCAAGTGGATTAACCAACATAAGCATCAGGAAAGGGTCTGAGCTGCATGTTCACCTTGCTTTTCAGTTAAGGACATGAAGCACTCTACAGCCAACAACTCAAGCTGGCAGCAGCAGAATTGTGGGCCTGGCTGAATGATCCTAACCCTACAACTGCTCTCCTCGTTCAGGGTTAAAATCAGTCACAAAGTTAAAGTGATTATCTACCACACAGCCAATTTCACAGCCACATTCAACCCATTCAAGCCAGAAGAGTTGTTCCCTAGTAAATTGAGCTTTATGTTGCATAATATAAACAAAAAAAAGTCATCTAAGCAACAAAGCAGGGCTCAATTAGCTCTATTTTAACACCCTGGATGAGTTCAGAAAAATAAGACTGTTCCACATGCCTGAGCAACGCTCATAATTATTGATTATAAGCACTGTGGAAAAAGCAGTAGCAGTACTTGTTCAACAGCCAACATCACACACAAAAAGAGATACAATTATTTAATTGTGAAACATTAACTCCCAGCGTTCAAGCAGCTCACATTCAAAGCTAATACCACTCACAACAAGTTTAGCAGGGCTTTTTTTTTTTTTTCAATTTATTTTGAAGACAGTTTGGACTTAGCTGTAGCAGCCCAATTCAATGCAAAAAGGCAGAAAGACACTGTAAAGAACATTTGTAATTTTTCTTATTGCTAAAACCACCTTCCCCTTTCTTAATTTGGAAAGGCATCAACTGCTCTGTTGCACATATCCATAGTATCTGCTCGTTTTCCACAAACAAAGATGCTGAAGCAGAGCAGTTTCCAAAAGGCACCTAATAGCTGATATGATGCCCTCTTAGAAATTGTCCTACCTTGTATAAATACCTTACAAAATTCTCTTTATTTCAATCTTTGCTATATTGTCCAGCTCAGTGAGACAGCTATATAATTAATGGGTACTCCTGAATTTTCCAGAGGAAACATGTTCTGAATAGTTCTAGTCTACACACAAATTAAGGTTGTACTGGAACACTTTTTAAAGCAAACCTCTGACAGGAGAGGTGAGTCGTCTGAGGAAGATTAAAAGCAGCCTTAATAATCAGTGGGAGTGACTGAACATCATCCAGAAAATGAAGCTCTCAAAATTCCTCAGGCAACTGAGCCAAGATTTCCCAGATAAATCAAGTCCTTTTCACTGGCATCCAAGAATCATCCAGGTTAAAGAGCAAAGAATCAGTGGTCACTGATTTCTCCTGTATCTCCACCAACAATGCACCACATGCCAAATGGGAAAAAAAAATTCCATTTTTCCATTCCCAAATGGGAAAAATACTATTTGAAGGAGTCAACAGAACTACCCAGCGTCAGTTGCAATGCAAGCCTTCCACAACTGGCTGCTGGAGCTTCCTGTGTTTTAGCATGTGAGAAAGTTGTTATTGGACTGTAGTTTCAGAACTCAGCCGCTAAAAACATTCTTCTCAATATACTAATTAGTATGTTGTTAGAACTAACCTTGAACTGTTCTTCCAGCTTTTCTCGAAGAGGGCTCAGCTTCTCCAAGCTCTTACTCAGGTACACATGGCCATGGAATTTAATAAATGCCTTGATGAAGTCAGACACGCTCCATCGAGTCTTCACCTCATCACGACTACGTTCAGAACAGAAATACCCAACTTCAGTCTTTGGAATCAGACACAGCTGCACATAACATTACACACTTTTTCTGTGAAGTTCAAGAAAGGAGAAATGTCCATGCAAAGCTACTTTTTTTTATATTGGCACCACATGCTTATTTCCTCCATTCATTATTCACACTCAAGAGCATCGCAGACACAAACTATTCTTTCTTTCATATGTGTGTAAGAGTGCTCTGACTGGAGGAGGATCGAGGAACTTCTATTTCTACTCCCAAATATGAATAACTTCTGGCAAAGGAGGTGCATTTGGAAGAAGTCTCCTCCATCTTACCCCAGCAGAAACACATGATGCTTAGTCTTACCTTTCCAGTGCTTTAGAAAGTGCTTTTTGTAGGTTAGTGGAGGCAGCTGGGAAAGGAAACTTCACAGCAATGCTTCTGCAGTAGTAGAAAATTGTGGTCAAGTGGTCTCCTTTGGAGGAAGCTAGAATAGCCAACTGATTATAAGGCTGACCTAAGGGAGAAAAAGACAAGTTGAACAATAAATTGTCATGGAGTGAAGCATGCTAGATTTCAAAGTGTGGACACTTGAAAAGGGAGTGTAAAGTCCTAAATTCTTCAACAGACAAGGTTCAGATTCATCTGCTGACTCTTTTGCTCCAGCCTTATCTCAGTATCACTCAAATGGAAAAGCTTTTAAAGCTTTTTTTTAGCACAGTTAGAGTTTTGGGTTTTTTCGGGGGGAAGGATTAAGTGTGGAGTTTTTTGTTGGGTTTTGGCTTTTTTTCTTCCCACGTATCCTTTAAAACCGGACAACAAATACGGCATAAGATCTTTGTATAAATAAGATGATACTGTCAAAACCAAGCTCTCACCACCAACATATTTATCTTCATCTATTTGGACAAAATCTAGTCCAATTTTACCTCACAAGGCAAATCTGTCAACAGTTGTTCATTTTTTTGCCTATAGAGTAAAAATTTCTATAGTCAGAATACAGACAATTTTTCAGTTAGAAAATAACTGGCTAAAAAAAAATATTGAGTTACTGGTTTCAGCAGCCTGGTTCAAAAATTATTTCTCCTTCTCTCACCATCCTACATTGTGGGCCACAGCAAGCCAATAGCTAAAAAGCAAGATCCCTGAACTAAAGAAGCCCTTAACTTGCACGAGCAACTTGAAAAATCCAATTTTAGGTCCTAAACTTTACAAATTGGCATGTGAACAAACGATAAAAGAAAAAAACACTGGGGGTAGAGAAGTTTTCATTAATTGTGCTTCGTAACATACGACTGTAACACAGTATAATGTAGCAGGAGTGAAGCCTTGGAGTGAAGCTGTGTGTTACCTTCTTGGTTTCTAAATCTTCACAAAGAGGAGATGAGACACTGATGAGGCAAACAGCTATTATCTAAATGATTTACCAACGGATCAGGCTTTGTTACATGATTGCTTTGGGCATTTAGGGAGGGAAATTCATATAAAATTCCATTTCCAACTGCCACACAAGAAAAGCAGTTCCCCAGATATTCCTTTGGAATTTTGAACCTAAAAGATATCCCAGACTCACCATTAGAAGGGACAAGCTGAGCTGCATGTCTGTAGTAAGACTCTGCCTGGCTGGTCTGATTCCTATAGCGAGCTAAGAAAACAACAAAAAAATCCAAGTTGAGACATAAAATACAACCCTCCTGCACTTACTTTTATATAACTCTTTTTACCTGAAGAGCATTTCACTATTATTTTAGAAATAAGCATCGGAAGAACATATAATTACACCAAACAGCACAAAGATTCCACACGCTGAATTTTGAGGTGGCTGGTTTTCCTCAGATCCTGTGTCACAGCTTATCAGCTCAGACGCAGAAAGATGCTGTGCCAATAGCATCACATCCAGAGAGCTACAAACATTTTTCATACTACTTTGCACAACCAGCTACTAGATCTACTTTTAGGCTGGTTCAAAAGCAATTACAGATTCCTGCGAAAAGAGAACTTTCTACAACACATAGTTCCACTCTGATCAACAAAGAAACAAACCTGTTGAACTCAATGTAAAAAGAAGCCTCGTTTATGAAGGCTGGATTTCTGTTGCCTTTGCATATATGATTTAAAGCAACAGAGAAGTAGGAGAAGCAGAGCAGCAGCCTGCTGCAACAAGCTTTTGTAATAGTTACCGGTTTCAACATTTCACTGTGCCTACCAGCTACAACATGATTAGTACGCTGGAAGACAGATTCTAGCAAATCACTAGAAAGCTAGTGATTAACTGTCTCCACGTGTTAACGTGTAACACGCATTAGAAAAGTCTAACAGCATTACTTTCCAGCCCTTTCCCCCTCCAGCAACCACCAAACGTACAATCAGCTATTAGCTACTCATCTGGAGCACGCTCGCTCTAGCAGTTGCCCAGGGTACATACAGATCCTTCTCTCCGTGAAAGCCGAACGCAGGTAGAACTCAATGTCCCACCTCTTTTTCCTTCAAAAACTCACCAATATCTCCAAGGTGGACAAGGCAGTGCTGGCAGATGTAAGAGCAGGAGCTAGATTGCGGCTTCACTATGGCGCTGGTGTGCGTCTGTTTATTGCTAATGATTCCCAGCTGGGAAGACTTTACGCGGCACGGCAAGTCTACGTTAAAAACTGTGCACAATTCCTGTAATAACTAGAAAAACAGGCCTGGTTTAGGAGCAGCTGGAGACAGTAATCAGAAAAGCATTGAAACAATATCAAAACTAGCAGGTCATCACTTGGGGGCACAGATTATAGCTAAATATATTTGAGCCTAGGTTACCAAAAGTGAGATTTCGAATTACATTCTCCATACAGAAGCCACTGAGCTCCACACTGCATTATTCTGTCCAGAACCATGAAGAGAATTTTTACTTCTCTTCTGTAAGAACGAGTTGTGCATCCCAAACCAGTAAGCAACTCCAATTCCCATGATACCTTAATTACCAAGTGGAGATTGACTGTTAGAGGCTGAAAGAAATCTTGCTGCTTTTTTTTTTGAAGTAACAGAGTCCTTTTTTTTATACCTAGATGAAGTGACATCATTCTTTGAAAATGAGCAAAAGGAATGCCACTCATCCCCCAAAGAACCTTGTTCCAACATAAGAACAGCACTACCCTGGCTTAAACTTTAGAGAGCAGCCTGAACAAAACCAAGTTTGCAGGCGACGCAAGCCAACAGTGGTCAACAGTTCAGTGGCCGAGCTGTCAGTAAATATTTGTACGAAGCTAATAGTGAGACTCTTTCAAAGAACAAAGCACCAGCTGCTTGACCAAATATCTCGAAAGCTGATTCAAAGAACACCTGAACTTTGCCATTCTAATTAGTGCTTTTGAAGTTTTTCCTAATGGGCCCCAGTGAATGCACTGGCAAGTAATAGTCACCACGTAGCGATGGAAAGTGTTTGCTCTGCTGTGTTGCAGGGTTAAAAAAATGCAAGGAAGAATTGACAGACTTTCTCCCAGCTGGGAACACGCTCAGTCTCCAAATAAAACAGACCTGCAGCAGGGTTCCACTTCCAGATAAAGGCATATAGAAAGCCCAGGGCTGACAGAGATGTGCGCTCTGTCAACGGCTAAACGTGCGATGCGGTGTTTTTGCTTGCTGCAGAAAAAGGTTTGTGTTACACCTCCCTCCCCTTCTGCTCTGTCTTTTATACAGTAGATAAAAATCCACAAATGAGAGGGATCTCACAGATGAAGGCTGGATAAAAGAGAAACATGACATCTTCCAACACGCTGAATTTGGAGAATTCATGCTCTCCTTCAAGATGTCATTTAGACAGGCCTCGCAGTTGGAGAGCAGGTATCTTGCCCGAGCAAAATCTTTAGCCTAAAAATGGGACAACTAAAATCACAGCAAACAGAGAAAGACGACCCAGTCTGTGGTGTCCTACACGAAAAGAGCACAATTCCCTGACATGCTGCAGGGAAGAGTGGGGCTTTTGCAAGACAAACGGTGGAGATGGTAGAAAACCCTTGGCAACCATGCCACAGGCTGTCCGACTAGCTGCTTCAAATAAGCAGTTTCCCAAAAGACAATGCCCAAGGGAAAAGGAATAAAATCATGGAGATTCTGGAAAAAAACAGGGTTGACTTGCAGATATTCAGAATCAAACTAGGAACTGATAGTCCTGTCATGCATGCTGTAAGCTGAAGCCAGTGCAAACTAGCCATGATAGAAAGTTTAGTCAGACCACAACCTGAGACAGAGGATTCAACAGGGACAACGTTGCTGCAGCACACCCCAAACGAGGGGAAAAAAGGGAAAAAAGGCAAGTTAACTTCATTAAGGTCATTATCACCCATTGACTCTTATTCTCCATAATCTACAAGCTGAAACCTAATATTGAAAAGAGAGTATGGGCAAAATACTGGCAGTAGGGAATAAACACATGACCAGGAATCACACCCCTTTTGCAATTAACTGAAAACCTTGGAAAATATACTCAGCTCAAGAGCACTCACCAATACAGCTTTGCTTAAGGGCACGAAAAGCTCCTGTAACTGAAGTTTGCAATTCCAAGCAATTGCTGACTAAAATATAGAATTAAAGGCAAAGATGTGCTTGTAAGCCTGGGAGTCAAAACACCAGGAAGACATTATAGGTTGTAAACGCGACCTAATACTCTTGGGGACAACCACTCTACTTAAGTGTACAGCTGTGGTGGGCACTAACTTAGGAACTATCATCCAGAAAAAACAGCTGTATTCAGGTATGAGTGTAGTATGTACGTATCCAGTTCTTGGAAAACATTAGGTCAGGTTTTTTTGTCCCAAAAACATCAGGATGAGGAGTTACAAGGAAGGGACACAGAACAAAGCGCAAAACATTAAGCCATCACGCAAACTCTCAGTGCAGCCACATTGTGGAATTCTGCATGTATTTCTGTTCTGGAACGACTGGAACCAAGAACAAAACTGATTATCCTTGCTTATCCTTCACTATATAGGCGAAGCCTCACATTTTTCAAAATGAAAGGAATTATGGCAACGCCCATGAAATCATGCATAGTAAAGAGATGAATGGGAATTTGTGAGACCCCTCCCTGCAATGCTGCATTCATTCTGGGGTGCCCAACAGAAGAAGGACACGGAGCTGTTGGAGCTGGTCCAGAGGAGGCCACAAAGATGATCTGAGGGCTGGAGCACCTCTGCTATGAAGACAGGCTGAGAGAGTTGGGATTGCTCAGGCTGGAGAAGAGGAAGCTCCAGGAACACCTTCTAGCAGCCTTCCAGTACCTACAGGGAGGCTACAAGAAAGCTGGGAGGGGCTTTTGACAAGGGTAAGTAGTGATAGGACAAGGGGCAATGGCTTTGAACTGAAAGAGAGAAGATTCAGATTAGATCTAAGAAGAAATTCTTCCCTCTGAGGGTGGTGAAACACTGGAACAAGTTGCCCAAAGAAGTTGTAGATGCCCCATCCCTGGAAGTGTTCAAGGCCAGGTTGGATGAGGATTTGAGCAACCCGGTGTAGCGCAAGGTGTCCCTGCCCACAGCAGGGAGGCTGGAACTAGATGATCTTTAAAGTCCCTCCCAACTCAAACTATTCTGTGATTCTACCTACCGTAAACTGCTCCTCTCACCCTTCCTCAAAGAGGACACACGCTGGTGTGATACTGGAGCTCATCTCTCACAAGCAGTTGCTGGAGCAGCATAGGAGATCCGACAGCCACAGCTTTGTAAAGGACCCGCGTGCAAGCAGCACAGGGCTGAAGCACACTTGCTTCCAGATTATGCAAATATACCACAACCAACACATTTTTTTGCAACTCACCTGTGTGTAGAAGCCACTAGCTGCCTCTAAGAACAGAGAAAGGTTCGCCTGAACTTCACTCCGATTTGGATTTGCTCTATTTTTCGCCTGACCCTGTAGCGTCGTGATTTGATTTTTAAAGGCATGATTCCAACTGAAAACAAAAGAAGCGTTTTCCTGGTTTTACTCTGGAAGTGTCAATGCAGACAGCACAAGCAACAGGAAAGAACTGTTTAATTACATAGCATCAGACATGAAAATGAAGTATATTCAAATTCAGGCAACATTCAGATTACAAATAATGTTAAAGATGGAAGAATTACCTTTCCCCACCTCTCATAACTAGAGAAACCAATCCTGATACTGTAACAGCATTAATATTCCCTTGTAATTGTTTTGGTTTAGGCAGCGTAGCACACTCTTCTGAAAACAGGATGTAGGGTATAGAAATTTGAGTTAAAAAAAAAATCATTCAGCATCTGGAGGCATGGACAGGACAACTCAGCCAGCCTACTCATCTTGCCTACTCAAGAGTGCCAGAAGAACCATATGCTTCTCTCAACTAAACCTGTTACAACCCACTTCTGCATCTTAAATAACAGGGAATGGACTCAGGGCATGGAGAAAGCAGCAGGATCTTCCCCTGACACTGGGGTGCTCATGGCACACTAAGAAAAGTCCTGATATTCCTCCCTCTGCCCAGCCCTACCTTAGAAGGCTTAAAGTGAGGGTCTTTGACAGCTACTCAACTCCTGTTAGACCTTGCTCAAAGCTCCAGGTGATTACATCAGGCAAGTTTCCTCCTTTCTGGAAACTCCAGACTTCAGCCCTTCCATGACAGCACAGAAGAGTGATGTTTCTTTCCTCTCTTACTTCCACCTGGCTCACCAAAACCTACTCCTACATGACACGGCTGCTGCTAATTGCCGGAAGTAAAATACTATTGAACGCTCTTCATCAACTCTGCAGCGCATTCTCACGTTTCACTCACAGCACAGCTCTCATTTTAAAGGAAATAAGATAACCATTTCCTAGGATACAATCGCTTTTCTGGAAGCCTCAGGGTTTCCTGCTCATCAGCCCAGATTATATATATACACAAAAGAATTTATTGAGGTACTCACAGGTCCTGCTCCACTTTTTTATCTAAAGCATATTCCAAATCGGTCACTAGCATTTTCTGATATAAGTCCTGTAGAGCCTGTCTGGACGTCCAGACTTCTGCTGGACCCAGCTTCGAATCTGAGCAACAAAAAGAAAAAAAACAAAGACACAACAGTTTTTGTAATACTCAAGTTCATGGAGTTACTCTAACTGATTTTTCACTCATCTACCTATGGAAGGACCCAGCACAGTGTGAGACATCCCATGCCAAAGAGCCACTTTATCACAGATTCATCAGAACAGTGAAATACAAGAAACTACAGATGGATTGGGGATTAGCTGATCACTGATTAACTAACTGGTCTCCTACAACACCATAACTAGACACAAGCAAAGTCAGCAGCTGGCAAGTTAGAAAAAACAAACGAAATAGAAGGAGGTCATTCTCCGTAAGTCATTAAGCTGCAGAACTTCTTGCCACCTGATTAATTTAGAAAAATGTCCACAGTAGCCTGAAAAAGTTAGCAGAAAAGAAATCCATCAAGAAATCGGACAGTCCCTGAAGCTGACGCTGTTGGTATTCAGGAGAACATTGTGGGCAAGTACTACTGCATGCTTGCCATTTTCTACCTCTTTGGTAGCCATCTGCTTTTCCATCACTGAGGGTGAACGCAAACACCACTCCCTGCTACCTCAAGTTGGAGTCCAATTTCCCATGCCCTGTAAGATCTGTGGGCTGGGGCTGTGGGAGCACAAGGGATGGGCCTCACCCCAGGGAAACCATTCCACTGATGGTGTGGCCACTCCTGCTGGGTTAGATGGATGCAGGTAGTCATGTCCCCACGGGGACTACACCAACCTGCTACGTGTACTACAACAGGGTAGTAAGCACAGCTGAGCACAGGTGCATTACGCAAGCTGCTTGTACTGCGTGGCTGATACATCAATATAAACCATTTCCATTTGCCATAAATACATACAGCTTAAAACATGGCTTGTAGCATTTCATAGCATCTACAGGCTGCACTTTCGTAACACGTGGTAGCGTTCAGATCAACATTTCCAGCACTCAGGTTTCTCAACGCCATCCAGATCCTTGCTAATCCCAAGTACAGCCGTTCCTCTGGTAGTCTAGACAGGAGTCTCTGGGAGACAAGTAGGGGCATGACCTCCACTCCCAAATGCTTTAAACCACCCAAAGTCAACTTTAAAAATACACGTATTTCAGATACAGGAGAGGGCCACAATGGTTAAAACACTATTTATTTATATACAGAGGACAAACCTTTAACATAACATCAGACACTTTCTAGAGAATTCATAGGAACAATAAGCACATGGAATACAAAAGGAAGACAAAACCAGGAATCAAGTACTAGCAGCTAGATCAACTGTACAATAAAGACAATTACCTGTCATGTCAGCCTTCAGGACTTCTGCCTGCCTGCAAGAAAGCAATAAAACAATAAATTAGAAACAGAATGATCAAAGTAATTGAATTACACTGAAGCACATTCATGGCACAGTGAGAGAGAACGCAGTGCCAGCTCCATCGGGGCTGCCTACAGCCTACACCGCTATAGTTTACCCCATGCAGTATGGACTGGAGGTACTGCTGCATCACAGTTTCTTCTGATTCATACCATAACAAGAGTCAACCATTCATTTTTCCCTGCTGAGCTTAAGCCTCTTTCAGAAAAAACTACAAAATAAAAACGGCTTACACTGTATTTTAAGCTTTACCTGCCAGCAGCATCCTGTCAACATTAGTAATACCTGCCTACCTGTAACTGGTAATATTAACTTTTAGTTGTCACATGTGAAGCGCAGTAGCCACCACACTCAGAGCCAAGCAAATTCCCATCAGTGCCTGTCTGCATGCTGCTACAGCCCTCCTGCCCCAGTTTTCCTTAAGGAGAGCCAATAAAAAAAAAAACTATGGCTTCCCCAATTACCTCTCCTCTTCAAACTGCCTCCCTAGAAGTCACAGTTTGATTGGGTTTCCAAGGGGAAAAAAAACACAAAGAATGGCAACTACAGGTGACCAAGTACCACTCCTTCGCTGAACATCCTCTGCAAATCCCCACTGGCTGGTAGAGGCTGGCAAATAGTTTCTCGAATAAAGGAACACCGGGACACAGTTCGCAATAAATAAATATTTAGGAATGGTCATCAATGGCTGGATGGAGCAGGCAATGGAGATGCTACGGCTAGGCACTTGTCAGCAGTACACAGAACTCCAAGGGGCAGTGCTGCTGGCCTGTCTGACCGACACGGAATGAACACAGGGCACGCAGAGGCAGAAGGGACACATGGCTGCCTGGTTTGGTTGGGTTTTGATGGAACACGTCCCTTTGCTTTCGCTACGATCAAATGTTTGCACGTATTTGCAAAGAGTGCAAGCTTTGTGAAGCAGACACGGAATCCTCCCAGCATATAAAATACCCACTTCCACCTGCCTCCCTCAGCAAAAAAACTAGATGAAAGTCGCACTGTGACTAACATGAAAGTCAGAAGCCAGCTTGGGAAAGAATGGAGAGCCAGGAGAGAGCACCACCTAATCCCCAAAGAGGCTTCAGACACAAGCATATTCTCTCTCCTGCCAATGGGAAGTTGTGGTGACTGTAAAAATAGTTTTTCAGGTTGTTCTGGGTTCTGCCTACTGGCCACAAATTATAGGGAAGGTTTCGAGATCCACACCAGGATTAAAAAGATATCCTAACAGTGTCAGTGCTTCACTAGGAAGATGTCTATTGGTAAGCCCCTTCACAAAATTCTTATTTATTAAATGCAAGAATTATCTCTATAACTCACCAGTGGACTATGCAAGAAGCAATGGGATGCTCCAAGGGCTTTAAAAAGTTAAAAATATCTTAACCGCTGCCAGAAGTAAATCTGTACATTCCTCACCCGCTTCACAAACTTAACCTATTTAACGTAACTTTTTTTAGTTTCTTTCTTTCAAGAAGGCACTAATACATTTTTTTTTTCCAACTCCTAACAACAGGGTACAGTGGAAGAAGAAATAACCTACTGTTAACCGACAGATAAGAAAGGAAAATTTTAGATGTTGTGTCACAAGAAAGCCAAAAGTCCACGAAACGTTTCTGCCTTGCCCACACGGAGGTAAGGAAACGTCTTTCCCAGGATGGGAAAGAGCAGAGGACGTTCCCCCACGAAGGACGGCGGTCTCCTCCGCGTGCTGTGCCTCGGGAGCCTCCGCGACGCTGACCTGCAAGTCCAGTCAAGCACGAAGCTGAGCAAACTCTGCCATGCTCTGACTTGGCAGCTGGAAACGCCGCTGCTCCGAAGGAAAAGCTGACTCGCTCAGGTGCAGAAGTCTCTATTTTATTTGATTTTTTTTGAACGGCCAGCCAAGTTCATACAGTCTGGCTCAAGCTTTAAACACCTGCCGGTTGCGCAAACTTTTTTTCTTGGAGCTGAGAACACGCTCTGCGGTGCCAAAGCCATGAATCCTACCGAAGGGGCTCAGCCCGAGCAGGACGGGCAGCACCGCTCCAGCAAACACCAGCTCGAAACTCTCCTCCAGGCAAAAAGGCTCTGCCTTTTCAAAGCCAAGAGCTGCTCCGCTGACAATCACTGGTGCAGAACTACCTGCCACCACGTTAAGTACGAATCTTTTAAGGGGGAAAATAGAAATAGCCACATTTTAAAGGCTTTCTTTTCATCAAGTTTTGACCAGCTGTTGCCTGGAGAATTCAGATGGAGAGAGCCTCAACCCCTACATCGGTCCAACTGCTGATAGATGCTCTGTAAAAGCACAGCCCTAATATGGCTGGATCTGAATTTTTACCAAAAAGATCTTTTTTCAGAACATCTTTTTCGGAAGGCAACACTCAAAGGCTTACAGAACAAGAGCCTCTTCACCAGCCATAAAGCAAACTGCCTTTGCTATTTTATAAGCTTGCAAGAAGCTAGACTAAGGAGATTATCACTATGATTTTTAATAAAATATATAGAAGTTATTTCAATATTACCTAGAGGCCAAAGGAATTAGTAAAGCAGGTCTAACATCAGCATGCTCTGTTTCTCATTTCCACCTAAAAAGAACTTTTATTTAAAACAGCTGCATCTGCCATGGCTAAGCCAGGATAAGAGCAGGCAGCCTGGGTACCAAACTTGTTCTGCATCAGTGGCAAAATATTAGCATCGACAGAGAAGAGATTCATTGCCTGTTCCTTGAACTGCAGAGCCTTTGCTGGTGCTCAGAGACCGCTAGTGGGCAAAAAAAATCAGAGTTCACTGGTAACAGCAAGAGTTTCTGACAGCACAAATGGCTCCTCATATCATCAAGTATCTTTCAACAAGCCTTTTCGTCCATTTATTTTCTTGCACCACTTCATGCTGAATTTGCCTTAGGATGACTTGTTCTGGTGCAAAAATACATTGTCTGCCAGCCAACTTGGTACAACTTGCTCACACGTTTTATCATTTCAAGAATATTCTCAAGTGCCTCCTTGCCCAGTTGGCCTCAGCAGTTCAGTCTTCAAGTCAAGTTTCCCCACATTTGTTGGTCCAAAGCCAAATAAGCACAAACCATAGTTCAAAAATGACATTTCAAGCATCGCCATGAGATGATATATCATCTTGACATATCATGATAGCTATTCTTTATTATTTCCTAACTAAATATACATTCAGCTCATGCTTTAGTGCAACTCGAAACTCAAATACAAAAGGCTTCCACTCAATTTAGTGAGATAGTTTGAGAGCTAAAGGAGTTTTGATTTTATTCATATACTTGAAAAGTTTCAAAATGCTAAAAGACAGTAGTCGGGACCTTCTTTTGAAGTTCTGAAGGCATAACATATTAAATTTTAAAGTACCCACAAATGGCAAATGAAACTTTCTTCTCTTAAGAACCTGGTAGTATATAAAGTCCTGTTTTGCTGTAACTCAGGGGAATTCGGACACTACGTTTAGCCTGGAATGAACCACTGGATTTAGCAAAGGAAGACAAACCAGACATTTTGTTTTTCCATTTTCAAGTTTTTACCATTCTTGACCAATTAAATTTTCCCTAAGCAGGAAAACAAGTTTTTCCCCTTAAGCTGGTAAACACTACACAAAGCAAACCCCACAAATACAGGGATGTCTCTCCCATCCACATTTTCAAATGTGTAAACCATCGCATTGAGAGGCTGAAAGGTGCACTGAAAGATCAGGTAGTCCCGCTTACACTTTTACACCAGGACAAGTTTGCGTAATTTGCTCTTAAAATCCTACAAAAACATATCCTCATACCACCTCTTTATGTAACTAGCCTATCGCTCAGTGTCAGCCCAGAAGTTTTTTTCTGAGACGCCAACCCACGGCCCCTCCATCGCGAAGCGAGTCCTCCCCACAGCACAGTCAGCTTTGCACAGCAGCCGCCAGCAAACCAAAGACTTAAATCCATCCTCTGAACCATCGGTTTCCTCTCGTAGGCCAACACATTAACGTTCATAAACGAAGTATTCTAATCCTCTTATTGCCACCTGACTTTGAACTCCACTCATGTACCACTAAACAAGTGGATCTGTTTTATTATTGCCCTCGAAACAGCTCATCTGTTTCAACATATATTCTTCAGTTCCGTTACAATTCGAGGCACACAAAAATTTTCAGTTCTGCATACACCACGCTGCATCTGCAGTATCTAGATGACAGAAGCACAGTTTTGATAACAAGCTTCGTTGTCAAGCACAGAAAAGCCAATAAAATTCAGCCCAAGTTTTCAAAGCCATGGCCTTGTGCTACCCAGCTAAAACCCGCTACTTCTGAAAGTCCAACTGGTCAAAGTCGAGCTTCA